CAATGTTTACATAAAAGTCAAAAGTAAATGAGCGCAAAAGTATCCGAGAGCTTTAACAAAATGTCACGCCATCTCTTCTGGTCATAATTTTATTGATTTCCAAAAAGTCAGTCGGCTAAACCTCGTCAGAATGTAGGTTTTTTTAACGTGCATTTGGCCGCCAAATAAGCTATCAAGATATCAATACTCTCGGGGTCGGTGGATATGTATGGGTTATGCAACGATGGTGTATCTCGTGAGAACACTTGATCTCGCGCTAGCGAGCAGAGCATTGGATTTTCTGACTCCATCTTTGTCTGCTGTATTCTATGCATATTACGTCATCATGTCGCAATTGACACAAAGGATAATAACCTTGCTAGCAGGTCGCGGTGAAGCAGTTTGACTTACACCTCTCCATGCGCGGTTGCCTGTACATCAGGCGCAGTCTATTGAATTGCCATCGCAAAGTTCACTTGATGAACATTTAATTCGAACGTTATTTTCTATCTGACAGACAGAAATTATTTAATAAATACATTTATAGCAAGACGAAACTCTAGCGTGGTGCGTGTTTTTTAAAATGAATTCGTTTTATAATAAAATTTTTATTTCTCAACAATAAGTAAGACATATTTTCATACATAATTCGATACTCAATGTTATTACTTTTAATCTCATAAATATATTAATTATCGATTAATAATTAATTAAATGTATAAACCATTTTTACATCGATTTAGAATATAGGTTAAATTTATGTAAAAAAAAAATTTAATATACAGCCACATCTCCTACATCACCAGTACAAATTTTTAACATGCACATGGAATATTTGTGATTGTCGCGATAACTAACACGCCACATTATATATTTGTCGTAAAAGGATCAGCAATCATTCTTATATTAAATACTTATTGACTCGTTAATATAAATAAATAAATAATAATAATGATAACTATAATGTTAAGAATAATATAATTTATATTATTTAATACACTGTATTATGAATTTTTTATATTGTATTGTATAAAAGCTCTTATGTTAATAAAAACATTCTTATATTATATCATTAATAATGAATAAATATAACTTAGTCGAATATGTTGTAAGGAAGATTATTGAGTATTGTTATTTGTAGCTTAATTTGAGAATTTATTGTGTACCTGTTATATATTAAAAAAATATAATTCAGATTCTATTTTATATTGTATAAAATATGTATTATTACTTTTATTCTCAAGTTGAATTGAGCTTAATTTATAATTTTACTAAATGAATATTTTATATGAGATTAATTGAATATCCGTGTGGGGAATAAATAAATAAATAAATAAAATTTCTAATATAGAAATTTCAGTATTTTAATATAATGAGCATAAATTTACAATATTATTTATTAAATAATATGGCTTAGAAGAATAGTTCAAAAGATTAATTTCAGAAATCGTTACCGTAAACTTACATAACGATTTCTAACGTTTAGAGAATTAATTCATAAACTTGTATCATAAAGATATTAAGTAAAGTATTCAAATTACTAATTAAATTCAAGTTGAGATTTATATAAATATTAAAGACATAATGTCCTTGTATTACAACAAATACTGACATAAAAATAAAACATTCTGTTCCTGAATATTTACATATAACTTTCCATTCGATAGACAGGTAGTACTTATTGGCTATTATATATGTGTAACATATACGAGTAAAAGTTTGATTACTTTATTTTAATTGTATAATTGCTTTCTCAAAGTGAAAGGTTAATTTACCGTAACAGTGATTTTTTTAGCCCTGAATGTACAAACATATTTTATATGACACATACATTTTTATCTGCACTCCATTGATTACAATATATACGTATATAAGTATCGATTTTTTAAAATTAATTATATATATATATATATATATATATAT